TCCTGCTGACCTTGGGTCATTAAAGGGGGTGGGAGGGGACACTTAGAGCAGTTTAGACCTTCCTGAGGTGAAGCAGGGACTCTTGATGTCTTCTCCCGGACTGTGGGAGAAGAAAAGGGCTCTGACTGCACATAGTAAGCTTGAGGCTAGACACATGGAGGGACTTCCCATCGGGGTGGCATTGCTCTCCAAACCAGTTCGCTTTTTGTGCTGAGACAGTGTTATCCACAGCCAGGGTGGGGTCCTGCACTTCGTCTACATCCTCTAGCCCTTCGGTTCCTCATCACTGCGGTGGGGTGGAGGGTCACGGGGGAGGTGTAGTTGGACTGACAGACACTAGCATCAGGTGAGGCTATCAGGGAACAAATTCAGCTGCAGACAATCAGAGGCAGTTAATTCAGACAGAAAAGAGGAGAAATCATTATTTGCTGCTTTGGCACCGTCCCCTCTGTTGAACTACCTGGTACTCCCTTATGTCCTGTGTCAGTCCACGCTCTCCTGGCTAGAGGGTTAAGACCTGCACCTTGGATATGTGAGAGGCTGAGAAGAGAGGTAGCCTAGCAGTGGGGGACGTGGATAAAATAACCCCTTGAGATATGTGGAACAAGGAGACAGGTGGGTTCTGGGCCAGTAGGGCCAGGATAAGAGGCTGTCTCCTACCTCAAGGTCCCCAGGCTGGATTATTTTACATTCAGGGTCTCAGAGCCCTAGAACCACATGGCAAAAGCCTAGAATTCTGGCATTTTAGAATCTTAGGGTTGTGTAATTCTAGAATTTTTTTAAATTTTTTTTTTTGCGGTATGCAGGCCTCTCGCTGCTGTGGCCCCTCCCGTTGTGGAGCACAGGCTCCGGACGCGCAGGCTCAGCGGCCATGGCTCACGGGCCCAGCCACTCCGCGGCATGTGGGATCTTCCCGGACCGGGGCACGAACCCGTGTCCCTGCATTGGCAGGCGGACTCTCAACCGCTGCGCCACCGGGGAAGCCCTAATTCTAGAATTTGTGTCTTCTAAACATTGAAAGGGACCTCAGAGGTAACGTGGGAAGGCTCATAAACTGTATCAGCGAGGAGCACCCTCTCTCGAGGAGCTTACTCCCTCCCCTCCTGGGAGCATCCCTTTGGTGCCGGAGAAATCTGCCTGGGACTCCCTGACAGTCCCAACTTTGCGCTGAGGCCAGGAGCACACCTCACCACAGGACAGCTCTTCACAGAGTGGTTGGCAGTGCACGAGCCTCCTCATCTTCTCCCAGCAAATTCCCTACCCCTTCACCCAGTCGTTCCTCGTGAGAAGGAGCATTCTCTTGAAGCATTCCCATCCATCAGTGACCTTCAAAGGGTGCTTTGCCAGTCCCGTAGGGGAAAATGATGATGTTCTCTCTAACACAGGTTAGAGAACTGTGTCTCTAACAGGTCACCCTGCCCACCACCCCACCCCACCCCCTGCCCCTGCCGCCCAGTTCCAAAGACGTAATGTAATGTAGCCTAAGACTACAGTAAGTCCTGGCAAATAAAACATGCTGCTAGCTGTGGTACACTGTCAGCAAAAATCTTTGAGGGTTTTAGATGAGAGCTGATGCTAAGCTAAATATCAAACCAATAGTTGTCAAAAATCAACTAATTGAGTACCTAATGTATGCCAATTGACATTTAACCTTAGTGCCATTCACTGACTCCCATTAAATGTTGTCTCTGAGCAGCTTCCCTTCTTGTAGCCTGTCAGTGGCCTTTGGCTTTATGGAACTATCAGCAGGGCCCCAGGGCCCCAGGCTCCTCTGCAAATCCAGCCATTTTCTTAGTCTCTACTAAATACAACTTTGCCAGTCCTAGAAAAGCTAATGACCCAGAGGAGAAGTTCTATTCAATCAAGTTCTAGAGAAAAGATGTCCCAGGAAACCATGAGAACTCAGAGTAAGGGCCCCTGTACCCAGCCTAGGGAAATTTCTTAAAGTCACATTTGGGCAGGGTTTTGAGGGATGAGTAGGAGTTTTCAGAACAGAGAAAGATCAGAAGTATCAGCTTGTACAAAGGCCTAGATGCAGGAAGATCTGTTAGTCTGATAATTCAAGAAGACCATTAATGGCTGGGGGTAGCTAGGACGATGTGTGTGGGTAAGATGGTTCTGTGTCCCCTTCATTCTCCACTGGGAGGAACTAGAGGGACTTCCGCCCTCAGAGGAGAAGTCAGGGAAGTGGGGAGGTGTTCTATGTGGGCCAGGAGAACTGCGTGGTGCTCTTACTTGTTCCTTCCTTCTGCCCATCCTTTTTGTGCCAGGCCTCATGCTGGGCACAGGAGACAGAGAGAGGAGTCAGCTAAGCCGTGCCCATGGGAAGCCAGAGGGGCAGGGGGGTAAGGGAAGGGGCCACAAAGAGGCCTTTCAGGAAAAGGTGAGATGGAGGGGTCTGGCTGGCCCTCCCCTGACACCCCGACGTCACCCACTCACTGCAGACCCTCTCTCAGCAGTGCCAGGGACCCACCGAATGGCTAACCTCCCCCTCTAATCAGATGCTGTGAATGCTGCTGGAAGTTTGAGGTGGGCAGGTGACTGCAGGGGCCAAGTGCCAGGGGGGAAAGCTCCATCCAGGATGTGCCCTTAAAGAGCAGGTGGGATAGAGAGCAGGTAGAGAAGGAGAGAAAAGGTGTGTGACTGTCAGGAATGTGATACACATCAAGGCAGCTCTGCACCGAGACACACGTCAGACTTCCTGGGGTTCTGTGACCCTGTAAACATTGAAATTTCCTCTCAAACACAAAGGGAAGCCACGATCACCATCTCCTTGAGAAGCCTTTTACTTCTGCGACCCCTTTCCTACCCAGGCCCCTCAGGTCTGGGGTGGGAATAAGTGAGGGCCCAGCTGGAGTCCAGAGGACTGGGTTTCAATCTGAGCTCAGCATGACTTGCCACGTCGCCTGGACCCTAGTCAGTCAGAAACATTGGTTAGGCCCTACTGTGTGCTGGGTGCTGGGGATTCAGCAGTGAACACAGCAGAGCCGGCTCGTGCCTTTCTGGTTCAGTCCCACCCCGACTGTGGACACCCCCTGCCCATCCCTGGCTCCAGGTTCCTTCTGTCAGGCCAGGGCTGCACTTGTGGCCTCCAGAGGCACTCCCTGCTCTCACTGAAGTCCATCTCCTTCTTCATTAAGTCTCCGCCTGGTGGACTCGTGGCCCTAATTTACGGGCATGGCCTTTCCCGGACTGGGAGAAGTGACAGGGGCAGTTAATATTCCTGTGGTAATGAACTTGGCTGCCTCAGAGTCTCCGTCTTTGCGCCCCACCCCTCCCTCTCCACCTCCACCCTCTTCCCTCAGCCCTGCCTCACAGCGATTTGCCCGGGGATGGCCAGTCCCATGGAGACCCCCTCAACTAACCCTTCAGTGTACTGGTGGGGAAGTTGCGGCCCAGCGAGTGCAGGAGCCCATCCAGGTCACACAGGGTGTCAGGAGCAGAGCAGATCCAGAGCTCAGGGTGCCCCCTGGGGCCACCCCTGCCCTGCTCTGGGTCTGAGTATCTGGCAGTGCTGCCCCATCTCCAAACTCTGTATCTCCACC